AATATATGATATGTGATAAAACACTGGCAGTTCACCCATTTGCATAAGTGACCTACAACAGTATTATACAGCATGGATTGGAGGAGTCTACCCATTCAACACCTTTTCAACAAAGCTGACAGTGAGCCAAGTTATTTACATCACGGGCATCATTTACTCGGCCTCAAAAAATAACTTACAACTAAATTGTGCGTGTGAACATTGAGCCACAGGAGAACACTTAGTGTTCAACACTAACCTCCGACAACAATAACCGGAATGGAACAATTCAATATTCCCGGACCGGAAACAATCAAGCAGTATACCTTGCGATTAATATCGAAAAGTGGCGATATCCACTCAAAAATTCTGGTTAAAATCCTATGATCATCAATTATATGAGTAGGTATTATCGTTATTTGGCAGAAACGCCGATCCACACCGATTTTCACTTTTGTTTATGTTTCCATAAAGGCGCGGGAAATGCGCGGTGGGGAGGAGGAGAAGGGGTAGGTGACGCGGCACGGCAAAAGGGGGAGAGCAATAATTACGGCACACTCACCGACACATGGTGGTCGCGGGGTGTTATTCTTTCCTGGGGTAGGCAATCCCGCCTCGCTTCTCCAGGATGTGATCCTTTGGGGATGCTTCTCGTCCCGTGCATCGTTGTGTATGGCTCCAGCAGGCTCTAGCAGGCGGCAACGCCAGGGAAGTGCCATGTGACAATAGTGAAATCAGGAGAGTCTCCTGGTGAAATGATCAGGATAATAAACTATTATGGGCGATTTGCTATTAATAAGAATTATATTTGGCGACTTTTAAGAAATATACACCAGCCCAGGTACACGACGTTTGGAGCCGAATCGTATCTGTCGTGGGAGTGTCATCGGCGTGCTCGGGAGGTCCCCATTGACGTCCCCGCGGGGGCCCGGACCATCAGCACTACCACATTTAGACTCAGCAGCGTGCGTGAAAACAACCGAACAGGATATTTCAGTCGTCCTGGTCGTTCCGAGGTTGACGGTCGGTCGGTCGGCCAAACCGTATCTTATTTTGACAGCCTGTCTCTCCGAGCGCTTGGGCAAGGCGAGAGAGCTTCGGAGAAGCATTGATATCTTTCGTTTTCGCGTTAGTTCTTAGCGCTGTTTACTTCTGGTTGATATTCTGGCATTGGCGGAAGTAATGAATTCGTCTATAGACAGTTCAGGTTAAGCTGACTCGGGCACTGTCGGCTGTAGCTACAATCGTGTGGCACAGGGACACGTCCCTATAGGGTCGTAGGCATTTACTCTAACGATGCGGAGGGGACTTATTTCTCCAGTCGGTTCTGATAAAAGCTGCCAGTAGTCGTGTCGGTTGTAGCTACAACTGTGTCGTTACAAACAGGGAGGTGACCCCCCAACCCTTGCGTACTGGTGGGGAACGTCGGGGCAAGCTGTGGCTGAGGGCGCCTGTAGGGTAGGCAATCAGTACACAAGCTATCCCTTAGGTTTTTTTGGAAAGGGGGGGGGGGGGCAAAGAGGCCCCGTGCCCCATATTGTTAGTTTCGATGCGTCCGGGCGCATCTTTTGGCTTCTCAGGGATTATGTGCAGAACTGGCAGAACTGGTCCCTGCCTTCTGCTTACACTCCAAAGGCTTCAGATTTCATATGACCCGACAAAGGATGTTCTCTAGTCGAGTCGGATTAAGCTGACTCTGGCCGCCGGCAGTGTGGCCTCTGTGGCCACAAATAGGGACGTGCAGGACAGGCCGGACGTTCAACGCCCTGCGTGGCCGTGTCGGTTCTAACTACCAATAGGGAAGTGTCCTTTAGGGCTCCCAAACCGTGCATCGTGTGTAGAATGGGCAGCCTATCCACGGTACAGAACGGCTGGCGTCCACGTCCTCTGGAGTGGGGATCAAAGGTTACTCGCCTGGTCTAGGAACTATTTCGTATTCTCAGATCGTCTCCTCTATTTTTATCTCCCGTTGGGTCAGTGCTATCTGTTAGACTTGCAGGTCGGCAGGCCGTTCACCTCCACCTACCCCCCCCCCCCAACCCACCTCTCGCACCAATGTTGGGTCGGCCCTTATCACGCTGAACGCGGCTCGACAGGGGCTGATAAGACACAGGACATGACGGAGCTTTCAAACAATTACCATCTTGGTTATCCCATCAAAATCTCCTTAAGGTCAGGGCCGTTTTTCACTCATACATGTTGAGTGCTGTCAACAATTCTTTATTTATCCCAAAATTATTTTAATACATATTTTACAATAAGGATATATTGGGTGAGAAAATGTCATTTTAACTTTCCAAAGACAAAGTCCTTTCACAGCCTGAAACTGTTAGACACTCTGCAGCCAGCCTGTGAAATTACATCCAGGCCACCAGCAAGTTGCTCGTTCTCTATAACTACAAGGACATTTATAAAAATAAAAACAAGAGAAATCTACACATCTTTATAATAAAAGCAAACCTATTACAATTAGATAAATGATGCTATCTCCCAGTTCCTACTGTAAAACACACAAGGTCAAATTACCATCAGTCCATTTAGTCTGAAAATTTCATATATACAAAACTTGAAATTGTTATGTGGTAATATCCACATGGCTATATCATGGCAATGGGCAAGAATAACTACCCTGAACTAACAAATGGAACTTCTTGATTAATTAAAAATCTAATCACGCCAAGAACTGATAACTAACAAAGAATCTCAAATCCACTGCACTAGATAAAAGATAAACGAAACTGCACTACGTGAATAGACTAAATATCATGTCACTCAATCAAAACTGTACAATTGAACTATGGTTATTTCAGAGCGGTAATTAAAGAAACAAGTAACAGAACTATAGGAGAAATTCATTGAAATGAGTATCAAGATTTAGAGGGAGAAAAATCCTCCAGGTGATGGCACGAATCCTTTGTTTAGCACGCACTCCACAAATCAGTCCAAAAATCTGAAAAATACATAGCTCCAGTAGTGTTTGGGCCAGTAACATAGGTATGAGCAAGACCGTCACCAAATGTACAGAACGTGCATGGAAGGATTCTTAGACATCACCAATTCAAACTACTCCCAAAAATCATGGACCATTTCAATCTTCATGCTACAGTTCACTTATTGGATACGAAATACATTCAGTTTGAGATTCCATAGCAACCATTTACACAACATTCAGAGGAATCTATTTCTCCAGTCAGAACAAGAATCATTTTTTATAGGTAGCAATCTTGGCTAAAGAGCAGCCACTGCTACAGCTGATTAGAACGAAAATCACAGATGACCCAAGAATTTTCTTGATTCCTTAAATCCACTGGTAATTACTTCAAAAGAACAAAATCACTGCACAACGACAAGGAACATCACAAAAATTGTGGGCGTTGCATCACATACAACATTAAATATTGTTATATTGTCTCAACTCCAGATAATTCAGCTAAGAAGACACAGGACTTAAAAAACATTCAAACTACTTGAAATAAGGAAAGAGAAGTCAAGTTCAGTAATGATGAAGAAAGTAAAAACCAAGAAAAGGGCACTAGTATTCTTTGACAATACTTATTGAAATGACCTGTGTCTTCTTGCACATAGAAATCCTAAGAAGATGGTATTTTGGATACAATGTTTTACATCTGGTGCAATTTTGAGGTTTAAATAACCAATAAAACGTTGGTTGAAGCTGTAGAAGACAACTCACATGCTAAGGTATCCACGGGCTTGAGATCTGCGGCGTCCAACAAGATATGCAATCAGGACAACAAACACAAGAGCTGCAAGGGCACAGCCTACCGCGATAGGAACGATGTCAGGGGTATCCAATTCACAATCTTGGGCTAAGAAAGAGAGAAAAATTGAGATAAAGCTCAGTCATGATATCAATTTAAATTTAAAATAAAATACTTACCAGTTGCAAACACTTTGTCAGATTTGGTGCGGAAGGCCTCAAGCTGGACTTTGTTCAAGATAAGAGCAGCACTCATGTTGCCAGTTAGAGGAAGACTCTCCTCGCGGATGCAACGGTAAGATTGGTTGAAATTAGTCTTGAAGACATCAGAGCTGCTGACCAAGGTGTATGTCTTGTTTACCACTGTAAAGAGAAAGATAAAAAATTACATGGATGTAACATAAAGACATACTTCAATAATGTTGCATATTGAAAACTCACAATCAGAAGAAATGTTGGGGAAACTTGCGTTGTCAGCAAAGACTTCAAGTTTAAAATTGGCCACATAGTACATTTTAGTAGTATCATTCTTGCCAAACGTAATGTCAATACTGTTTTTCTCCCATGAGAGTTTTACATTCTGGGTGGTAGCATCACAAATACCAGAAGCTTTCGCGGTGACTGGCACAGACATCTCCTTGTTGGCAGTCTACATAGCAAAAGGACAGAATTAGAAATTACAATAAGAAATATTTTACACAAATTAAGAATAAGAGTTTTCGGTTACCTTGTTGGGAGTTTGGAGAGCATAGTTAAATTTAGCAGAAATCACCATCTGGGCCACAATACAAGTTACATTGCCATCAGACACAGTCCAGTTACCCCTCCCATCAGATGGAGGAGGAGCAACTGTGGTGGTTACAGGAGCAGGGGTGGTCACAGGAGCAGGGGTAGTAGTAGGCTCAGGGGCAGGAGTGGTAGTAGGTGGAAGGGTAGTAGGCTCAGCAGTTGAAGTTGAAGGCGGGGTTTTAGTTGAAGTTGGGGCATCTGTCGAAGTAGTGGCAGCAGACGGCGTAGTGGGAGAAGGAGTAGGTTCCGCTCCAGCTGAGATCTTATCGCCTGAGAAATGAAAACATGATACAGATTAATGATTGAAATTCCAAAGAATGCTTTAAAATTAACCCTTCCGCTGGCTAAATTCCAAATTGACACATAAACTATGAACAAAGAAACATGCTGCACCCTGAAGAAAACATAATAAAAATCCAAAGAGAAGCTTGGAGTGAATAAAAAGGGAAAGGGAACTAGTTGTGGGTAAAATGAAAAATATAGTGCTTCTGGGAAGTATCTTACTGATGCTGTATACACACCCTGTACTTTGGACTTCCCAAGTGACTCACTCCATCAGACAATCCTAACCCTAACTATACCTCAAAGTTTCCATTTAATCACGGAAAATTCGCCATAAGCGGATGTGTACCGAAAACAGATAGCAAGAGGAAAGCATCCCAGGGCGATAACGGCCGGCTCCCAAGCCCTCAGCTTCTTCACAAGGAAAGGAAGTGAACAACATCTGAGAACAACAGGCCCAACGAGCAGGGCATACTAGGCGGGCAGACGAACACGAATACACCCCAAAATTACCACCCGAACGCAAGATATAGTCAAAAACTAGCGTCTTGTCGATGCGTATGCAAATAATAAAACTGAAACCGACGGACAAAACTAGGAAAACAGTGAGTTGCATAACGTTAAATCGGGGTAGGCTTCTTTCAGGCTTACCCAGGGCACAGGCGAACAGCGCACACGCCAAAACGACGGCTATGCTCTTGCACTCCATGTTCTTGATCAACTTGAAATAAATCCTTGAGAACTGGTAGGAAGCCTCTGCGGCGAGTGTCGGCGGGACGTCAAGCCGAGCGAAATAGTGAAGTGCGTTGAACGTAGTGGGAAGTCGCAACTAATCAAGTCATCTATCTGCGTCCTTCTGCGTCTGCGCTCTTCTCAAGTCAAGTCATCTGACTGACCAGTGCTGCTGTACTGCGTGCTGCGGCCGCTGTGGCCTGTGGCTGCTCTCATCTGTTGTGCATCTTGTAGCAAGGCGACACGCTACCAAACAAATCAGCAATAATTTAACTTCTATCTACGGGAAAAAATGCAATATTCCTCAAGGAAACTTAATTTAAAAACTCTTTTTAAAATTTCTTTTCTGACATTTTTGAAGGAAAACAATCGTGGTTGTACTTTTGTTTCAGTACGTAAGCGTCTGTTGTTGGTACAACATTGGCACGGTCGCGTGATTTGGCAAGGTATGTTGGAGTTTCCTCTCTTCTGCTATGTTATTTCTATTCCAACTAATAGTTGATTCCTTCGAAATTCATTTTTCCTGATGTGGATTGCATAGTACAGTGTCTCAAAACTACGTATTTAACACCGCATTACGCTGTCTAGCTTTATTTCAGCTGCTGTTTGTTGTGGAGTATGAATTGTAAGTTTACGAGATGAGCCTTTTTACATTCTTCATATCTAGTTGTAAGAATGCCCTGATATATCTCTGATGTGTATTGCTGCGTCAGCTGATATGTATGCAACATAAATTTCATCAGAAACTGTGGCTTTTGTACATATATTATCCTGGTACCTAGAATTACTTGATTGAAGATATTAAACTTTTTTTTTGTAGTTACTCCATAACCTTACCCTTATTTACCTGTACATTCAATTTGTTTTCCATTTTCTGCACAGTGCTCATATTTTGAGCTACAATCTACTCTGTTCAGTCCTTTGGTCTCTCAATACCTTAGCTAAACCTTAAAATTTATTGTCTGTCTTTGAGGTGTCCTCGAGTGGTGAATAATAGAGTGAACCCCTTGATAACTTGTGTTGTCAGATTATTTTAAAGTGCCTCTATAACAACAGTTTTTTTTTTTTCTACTTTTAATGTCATTTAACTATTTTTTCTTATTCATTTTCTTAATTTTTGGAAATTAGGATTTAACTACCCAAGATGGTTGACGTTGGACCTGCGGGTGCTGCTAGCAGTGGGAGCAGCCAAAACAACAGCAACAACTCTGGCGAAGAAGATAAAAAAGATGAACGAATGTTTGAATGTAACATTTGTCTGGACACAGCTAAAGATGCTGTAATTAGCATGTGTGGACATTTGTTTTGGTATGTAAATTATTTTTCATTTTAAAGCTTACCAATGAACTATGTATTAGTAACATGATTATTTCTTTCAATATCTACTACAGCTGGCCATGCCTACATCAGTGGCTTGAAACTCGACCAGCAAGACAAATGTGTCCTGTATGTAAAGCTGCCATTAGTAAAGAGAAAGTAATTCCACTTTATGGAAGAGGCAGTAGTAAGCAAGAGGACCCCAGGTAAGGATATTGGCTTGCTTGAAGGAGGACTCCACCTTGAATATCACATCATAAGCTAATAAGGAATTTTAATTCTAGAAACAAAGCTCCACCTAGGCCTGCAGGTCAAAGAACAGAGCCTGAAGCCAATGCGGTATGTTTTTCTAATATTCCCTTATGTGTGACTGCTTAACTCTAACATTTTTCTTCCTTGTCCTCTCTCTATTACATGTATGCTTGCATAAACAAAGTTTTAAAGCATACCTATTGCAATGAGCTCAAACTTTGCACTGATCTCATCTCAAGTCCTTGTTCCTTTGTTTGAAGCACTTTTCTTTCTATGATAGCTCAGACAGTTTTAAGTAATTTGTTTTCAAAATACAGACTGAAGAAGACCAATGGTGGACAGATGAAGAATCTTCTGAGTCGGAGTTTGAAGCTTCTTTTACAGACTCTGATACTTTTAATAGTATTGCTGGGGAAGCTTTATTATCTTTAGGTTTCATACTTAACTCTCACCAGGATGAGGATGTTGTCTTTGAAGACACTTCATCTTTCTTTTTTGATGATATCAGTTCAGGGGCAAGCAATCTTTCTAGTAATGACTCATTTGTGGAAATAATTGATACCTCCATGTCAGAAGATTCTAGAGAGAGCGAAAGCCAAGGTGGTGAAAGCGGAGAAGAAGAAAGTGATATAGCAGATAATGACGCAGAGGAATGTGAAATATCTTGTGACAGTGCTGACTCCGCAGAGGGAACTGCAGAAGAGGGATCTGGAAATGATCAATCAAATGAATCAGTTGAATTATTCAGTGATTGTTCGTCCTGCTAATAGGTTTCAAATCTTCCACCTAACATTCTATTTTTTCAAAATTTTTTGTATTTTTTAAATAAGTAGTTTATTATTCTCCTAAGGTATCTAGAAACTTAAGCAATAGCAGTTATTTTTCTGTAATTGATAGCTTTGAATCTGTCTGATCCTTTTGGTTGTATTCACTCTTTCCAATATCGACATAGCACATATTATTTTGTGGTTTTTTGTCAACTGTAAAAATCTTTTAAAATACATTTTTTTTTCAACTGTCAGAATTCCCATCTTTTGTTTAACTCCAGTAAAATCACAATTCATGCAATTTGTATCATTAAAAAAATTTACACTTTTATACTGTTGCTCTTTCTGCAAGCTAAAGTTCAACAATACACACCACTCAGAAGTTAAAAGAGGTCAATTATTACTTTTCAGAATTTTCCTGGCTTGGGCTTTCATGGAAGCTTTATGTCATTTGGTATTGGAGCTTTTCCCTTTGGATTCATCACTTCATCTTTCCACTTTGGAGACAACAGAGCTTTTCAAGGTATCTATTTATAGCTAACAATAGCTAATTTAAAGCAAATGTATCATTTTCAGTATGTACAGAAAACTATTCTTATATTTCAGCAGCACACGATACACAGTCTGCTGAAGATAGATTTTTGTCCAAAGTATTTTTGTGGGTGGCTCTTGCTTTCCTCATTTGGCTGCTGTTAGCATAGCATTACGCCCCACCAGGCTTGCAGGATTCAGCATTGGATTTCCCAGTATTTGCCTGCGCCTGGATGTGCAATCGGCATTGGTATACTTTCCTGTGATTTGATTGGAAACAGCTGAGTCCCCATTGTTTGTGTTTTCTGCTCCTATCTTTACTGAAGTTAGGGCTATAATTATACTATTCCTTGGAAGTAGTATAAGATGAGTAAATATTCTACATTCCATTAAAAGTCATTGTTTATTCCCAAATAACTGAGACTAATGAAAAATTGGTCAAACTGTAGTGCATTGACATCACTGCTATATAGTCACCATGATTCATGTATCTAAGATGAAGTAATCTGATCATATTTTGATTCCAAATTAATGTAATAGTAACCTAAGAGAGTCAATGAGATTTCAAAACTACTGTGAATTCCACAATCTGAAATATGTTGTGGTAAAAACGTGGCAGTTAGCACATTGTATTACATTTTTGATCAATTATTGATTAATCTCTGGTACTTGGGTTATTGGTAGTTTTTACAGTGGGAAATTTATATAACTGCTCTCCATTGGTACTTTATTTCTATGTTTATTGTATGCATTGCGCTTTTTATGATGGACAGTTCCCCAAAAAATAAAAATGGGACCAAAATCAAAGCTTTGTGGGCAATTTCAGAATTTCTGGAAGAGATTTACTCTTCTTATGTCATCAGTAATTTTCTTCAAATTCCACTCCTGCTAAATATGTCATGAATTTAGTGTGATGCATACTCTATATAAATACAATGTGAAAGTTGCTGTTTTTTTCAGAAAGGTGAAAAAAATGACTTGGAATCATTTTTCATTACAACACATACTGTGTACTTTTAACCAATCAAAATTGTTATTTTTTTGCCCCCCGCTCTACTTTAAGACAAAATATACATAATTCTATTTTATTTGCTATCGAACAACATTGCTTATCAGATGCTGAATACGAATACCATTTGTGTTTTAGCATGTCAATCAGATAAAATCTATTGTAATGGGAGGAAGAAAGCTATTTTGAACGTTGCTATGGTATCATGCTCAAAGCTGATTAGACGGAGTTTAAAGTGCAAATCTATTCTAGTCTAAGGCTGGGGTTCTATCAAGATGAGGCGAGTGCTGATGATCAGCACGCAAGTCAGCATCAGCATCAACAAAAGAAGATCTCTAGGACTGTGATTGGTCATTTGTGCACGAAGGTGCCCAATCACAGTTCTGTAGATCTTCATTTGTTGATGCTGACTTACTGTGGTGCTGACCGTCAGCATTCGCCTTATCTTGATAGAACCTGGGTACATTTTTTTGTACACTTCTTTTGTTTATCTAAAATGATGCTTCTCAAGACTTGCTTTGACAAGTACCATGATTGTTTTGGGGGCTTTTACATGGCTTAAAGCAGTGAAAGAGGTAGATAAAATAATAATAATGGGGATTTGACTCAAGTCTCAGGCTTTACAAGACTACTAAATCAACCTTTTCAGTATGAGCCATGTCTTGCTCTCCTATCACCCTGTGAGAACCTGAATTTCCCTTCGATTTTCCACCTTGCTAGTAATGTGGGAAGATAGTGCAGACTTCATTCAATCTATGTTGTAACTTATTACTCATGTCTTCTAAGCCATAAGGTAAAGATAAATTAAAAATACTTTCTAATCATTGTCCAAATGATTGTCTAAATGCATCAGTAAAAGTATGTGTTGTGTTTTCATATTTTTTTTCTGGAACATGAGAGGAATAATTTTGAATGCAGTATTCTATTGGGCCGTGATTTTCTTTTCACTTGTTGTTTCTGTGTTGTTTTGTTGTGATGGGTTTTGGGGTAATTTGTAATATTTTAGTGACTTGAATTGATGGTGATAAAATATATGGTCGGCATATCTTATGGTCATCTTTTGACACCTCTATCCCTTAAACTGCTGTTAATGACACAAGCTCTTGTGAGTCTGACTTCTGCTTTGAGTCTTTAAAAAAATTCCTGGCGGAGATTATTAAGCGCTCCAAACTTTAGTTATTTTTGAACTGTGCCTTTCGATTTTCGAGATATCTTGTGTTTACCGATTTGGTACTGGTACTAAGACTGTACAGTTACTGACACAGCTTAGGTTTGAGTCCTATTGGCAGTACAGGGGTGCATAAATAATTATGAACTGATGTTTTCTCATCAAACTGTATTTATAGTTGTAAAGCTTTTTCCTAGCACCTTTTCAAATAAAATCTTAAATCATAAAAAATTATAATAATTTTCAAGGACACAAAAAAAAGAAAACACAAACAAACTTTGTTTCTATGGAATAAAAAGGAAAGTGTTTATAAATGACATTCACTGAACTTCTTTCACAAATTCTCATCTGAGAAACCATGTAGTAAAATCATATGTTATGAAAGAATCTGCACAATCCAATAAGATAATAAGTTTTAAACCAAAACAAAACATTATTGAAGTACAATGTAAATAGAATTTACTTATTAGTAGGCATGAGCACACTTTGTAGTAATCATTATTAGAATGATCAATATTTTCTAATTAATTGTATTTGTTGAAGTTGTGATCTTATGCAGTTCATTGTGGTTATGGCTCCACAATATTTCTATCCCTAGGAAAGTGTTTTTATCATGCAGTCGAAAATGACATTATGTTTTCTATCAAACACCAGAGACCACACTTGTGCAAAAACATTGACTTCAAAAGAGTCACAGATGACACAGAGACAGAAACGTTTTCCTATAGATTGCTTGAAACAAAGATAAGAAGTGGCGTACCTACACAAATTGAACTGCTCAGGCTTATGATGGATGGCCATACAGACATGTGTATTCTGTGTTTAAAATTTATTTACTGGAGGATACAGATAAGCCACATTGCCTTATAGTTGTCAAGACAAACAACTGAACAATCACCTTTGATGAGAAAATACAACCTTGTTTTGTGACCAAAGTTACTGCAAAAGGCAATTTTTGAATGAGACAGGAAATTAAACTTGCTTTTAAAGTCAGTGCAGAGTTTACCCACACGATTCGGTTTGGCAAGTTCAAACTGCACTCAAAGAAATGCACTCAGACATCCACACATGCATACATACATTCAAAACTTAAATCTACAGACATACATTCACACACCGTCCCTTAACTTATAACACCTGCCCCTCCTCCATCACGTTTGCTTAATAATTACGTATTTTTAAGTGTAATAAAGTTATAAGTATTAATTCTCTCTGTATATTTACAAGGTTCTGTACAAGAAAATAGGCTGGCAAAGTCTCTCTGGACGACCACCGTACCGGGGCGCAGAAATTGCGGGGGGGGGGGGGGTGCAGTGGGCCCTCCCGGCCTTCCCCGAGCAGCTCCGGCGCTTCCCACCACTGGCCCTACAGCTGCCGTCACACCTTGTCACCAAAAGCACTTTGTGATTCACACCACAATATTCACTCTCAAACGCATCGACCCGGCCAGCAGCGCACAGGACATACGCTTTCTTCTCGGGCGATATGAACCACGGTTGCCGCCCTCCCTCCGGCCGACGGGACAGTCGGTGGGTGCAGTCTAGCGTTCGTACGCGCACTGGAAGCCCAACATCACCGGCACATGCGCAACGAGGGCACCGCGGCGGAGAGACGCCGCAGAAGTGGGACACGGAGAAAGAGGAGAAGTGAAGGATGCAGCGAGAAGAGGATGCGGGTGCGCGCCGCTGTGGCTCTTCCCTCTGAAGAGCACGGGTCGCCCTTTACAGAGCCAGCACCGCGACCAGGAAGCTGAAGAGCACCACGAAGAAGGGGTACTCCAGGCGGAGCTGACCGCCATGCTGCATGGCGGCCGGGTGTTCGCCTGCGGGTCATACACGAGCGCATGAGCAAACCGAGGAGTACTTCACTCAAGAAATTAATTTAAAAAAACGAGGAAAAATCAATTAAACAATTAAAAAATGAATATAAAGTAAAGGAAAAACTAAGAAAAAATCAGGAAACGTAAAGAAAAATCATACGAAAAAAACACAGAAAAATCGGTGTATATACATGATTTTATAGAGAAGTACCCTTCGGAGTGAACTCGGAGTGAACGTACCGTTGAGCACGTGGACCACGACGGTCTCCGGGTTGGCGTTGGAGGGGTTGCACGTGTACTTCCCAGAGTCGGGCTCCTTGGCGCGCTGGATCAGGAGGTAGGACGTGGTCACGTCGCCCTTCTCCGTGATGACCGAGACCCCTCCCCGAGGAGAGTCGTAGTTGATCTCCTGCGAGACACAAAGAATGGATGCGTTTGTTCAAGTTTGGAACGGGCCCATTTGCCTGCATCACGGTAAAAAATTAAGGTATCATGTGCTATAAACAATGCCTGATATAATTATTTTTAGTGGAGAAGGGGAAAACTGGGAAAACTTACAGCAACTCCCCTTCCTCTGACGAAAACTCCTCAGATTTTGAGGAAGTCTCCTCAAATAACAATGTGGGGATTTCTCTCTCGCATTTTTGGAAAATGATAAACGCCCAAAATCTTAAGTTTTTTTTAAAAGTAAAGTACTTTTTCAAAGTTTTCCTATTTCCCTCCGCAAATCAGACATCTTTTGTACCCTTGCCTTGTAGCGCGGCGGAAGGTACCCCAGTTGGGTGGCTCGGCCATGCCGATCATGTGTGACCTACCCTGGCCAAAAAGCCCCACCGAACTTCATTTTTTTTTTTTTGGTTGAGGGTGTGTGTGATAAAAGACGTCAAACGCTTGGCCGGCTGTAGTGTAGACGGCTGCTTGACGGCACAGAGAAGAGGGGGTAAGGGGGACGAGCCGGCCCCTTGGGGAGCGGCCGCGCCCTCGCAGCCGCACCGCAACCAGTTATGCAAAACGACAAGTGTCGGTGACGTATGGAAAATAACTCCCGGGCCCCGCACCCCGTCCCGTCACGCCGTGAAACGGATATGCAAATGAAAGCGATGGACGGGGCCCTGCAGCCTCTGCTCTGCGGGGACGGGCCCAGGCCCAGGCCGAGGCCGCGGCTACATGGGGGGGTCATCCTCACGCCTCCCACCTACCACCCGTACCCCCTGTCTGTCTGTCTCCAGTGGAATGCGGCCGTCACAGCAGCAGTCGCGACGGGTACGGCCGGGTGGTGCTGCGGTGCGCCGAGCAGAGGGGGAGGGGGG